ATTTTTAAGTTAAAAGATACTAACTAAAAATATTAAATAATGTAATGTAATTATATGTATTAGTGGAAAGTGATGAAAAAGATGACAGTCCGGTAGATAGTCCACCCAATCGTAATTCAGAGAAGGGCTGGAGTCTTTGGGACTTAGTGCGGGGTGGTTGGAACGTTAGAGAAGGTCCGTCTTCGCCGACTCCAGACTCAAATCCACCAATCCGTCCAGGCCAAGGTAATTATATCGAAAATATTACGATGTACATGTTTTCTGCGATTATAAATCATTTATAAATATTTTCTTTTGCGTCGTTAGAATTAGCGCAACGATTGGATTACGTGCTACGTGCAGTTGGTTTAGGAAGGAATTATTTATATACTGTAATAGCGCATACAGGATATTGGAATAACTACGATGTGGCCTATTTCGTATTAACGAGACTCATCCCGACGTTAGAAACATGATGGCGGTTTAAACAGTTTAGCGCGGAATCTCAATGGTTTCTGCTAAAATGCTCTAGTCCATTGTAGGCCTTTTTTAGAACGTGATATCGCATATAGGCCTACCACCAAAACAATCTGTGATAACGGAAAAACGATACAATAATGTTGCAAATTCTATGAAAATTGATCATTTTATATTGTTCGTATTATTTGGTAATCGTTTCACATCGAGTTACACGAACGTGTTGTCTTTGCTCGTTTTGAAAAGTAACTTGTTTATACCAAACATGTTAGGTAATCGATATTTGTACATAGCATAATAAACTGTATTATAGGAACGCGCAGGAAAGGAAATTATAAGTTTCATGAGAATTATGTTACTATCTGATAAATGTAGTTTATAAATATGCGAACTATTTATTAAGTACGATACTTTGTAAACTCTCTATGGCTTGTTACGACTCGGCAGTTGTTTTCGAATAGTTTATCGGCAACTGATGTATTCCGTTGATTGCCTTTGTTGTATATAAATAATATATATAACATTTTAAAATTGGCACTAGATGTGCTAAATATGTTATTGATCTTACGATGGAGTAAAGTAAGGTAATGTGATGCTTACGAATTTTTCTTACATAGATATTCGTCGTTAATCGATTAACAAGTACACATTCGGAAGTATTCGTATAACTCAAGTATTCGAATAATGCAGAAACATGAGACACCATACATTATAATATTTTAAATAATATATAATTTATTAAGATACGCTTTACTTATAAATATTGGGGCAATGTTATATCTCTCTTTGTACCTTATCTTTAATTTAATAACAATTTTTTTGTTACGTAGATTTTCACATTGTTTTAAAAAGCTTACTCAAGCACAAAGTATTAAATTAAATGTAAATGAATGGAATTGTAAATCTCCAAACATGATTCCAGATCGTAAATTCTCTGTAACAAACTTTTTAAAAATAAAATTTCTATTCTGTAGTAGAATCTTTTTAAATTCAATAATATGAAATACCATGAAATAATTGCTTAATGATAATATATATGACTCTCGTATGACGAAAGTTTTGCTCCGTTTCTTAATATAAATCATTCAATATACTAATAATTTGTGATAATGCAATGTAGCGGACAATATAGTTCAGTCTAAAGGACTAAATTTTTTTATATTGGAATCTATAATTTAGACAAATAGTTTAGGCAAAATAATAATTTTTTTATATTTTATGTAAACATATATATTTTTGTGTACATAAATGTGCATAGATGTATATATATATATATATACCTTTATAGTTTTATGATCTTTAACAATAGTAAAACATTAATAAAAATATTATTTATTTAAAAATATATGTATATATTACAATTATATTATTTTATCTAATAATATTAAATAAGAAATTCTTTGAGTATATATTATCTAAAAAAGATAAACTTATATAATTTATTTTTTTAGGTCATATATATAATAATAATTTATAAAAAGTATTTTAAATATAATATAAATGATTTAAACTGATTAAAAATAATATCATTACAATATATACAAATAATATATTATTTCAAATGGCATTGTAATGTAATTGATAGTTTCTAATATATGTAGTAAAGTATAATTTGCTATCTTTATATGAAATTGTTCAAAATGCTAAAATTTATTAATATTAATCACCTATTGATATAAAAGTCTTGTTTTTTTATATGTCGGATGTCATTCCATTTTATATCTTATTTTTTTGAGTTAATCAATGATTGTAATAACTGTAATATAATTTTAATTACCATGAGCACCAAATATTTGTGATGTAGGATTGTATAATGAATTTCTGGTAAAATAAGACAACTTTTTATTCTTATATTTTCTGCTGAGAAATATATTACATCGAATATATAATGTATGGTAATATGTAATGTATTAACCGTATGTTTTTGCACTATTTTATTATTATTATGTATATATTACGATATGCTTAAAATGAAAAAATGAGAATAATACCGCTTTATCTTTAATGCATGAAGAGAAAAATGCTGTTTATCTCTAAATTGCATTAGATAATTTATCCAAAAACAGATAATTTAATAGCGCGACAATAACAAAGAAATTTATTATGGAATTTTATTAGAGGATACAGAAAGGAAGAAGATAGAAAGAGAATATATCAAATTTTATATAACATGACACACATCATTATTAATAGGCTTATGGGAACATCGATATATATAATTTTTCTTAATGTAGAAGATATCCATTATGTGATACAAATCAGTTCAAAACGCCTATGATAGTAGTAATGATATAAAACAAGCAATCTGCCATAATAACAAAATTGTAAGAATTATTGATTATCAAATATTCTTTTGAATTATAATTAGAAACAATATCCCTAGATTTATGTTAGAAGATATGTACAATAGTTGTAATCCATTAACAATTGCGGCGATGAATAGAACCAAAGAATCTTGTCATCACTTTCACAATCATCGGTTTATATAATATAAAATTAAATATTATCTCTGACGATATGAAAGAATTTAATAATTTTGATTATACAAATTTCCGCAGATGTAATGTAATTTGAAACTAGGTGAAAAATGTCAAGATAACAGATATCATATCATAGCGTTTATTATATTACACGTGTTTTCGTGATTTCTATCGCATTTTGCTGAGAGAAATCCAGGGTCATCTATAATTATAAAAATTGATATACTTATAAAAATAGTTGATATCTTCGGTCAAGGGCATGCATGTAGAAAATAACATGTTTATGACATTGATTGATGAAATTTATGTTTTATACTACACCCATACAATCACAACTCCGGTGTATCACAACATTTTTTCCGAGATAATGAAAAAATGACTTTTATATCCGTTCTTCATGTTGCCTTATGTAATCTGAGAACATTTTTAAAATAAATATATTACAAAAAGCATTCTCTCTATTCTTTTTTATATTGTGTTATATCAAGCAGATACATTTCAATCGACTGTTTTACCTTTATTATACGTTATATTTACTACATTCTTGTGCATGATATTAAAAAATCCTTTTAACTAATCCTTTTGTATTGCTTATTTAAATTCAATGTCATAAACTTATTATTGGAAAAACTCAGTTATTGGATATATGAAATTTACAAAATGGACAGACCGTGGAATATCTTTTTATAATAACTTTACATATTTTTAGCACATATGAGATATTAAGATCATCATTTCCCGTCAGTTACATTGGGTAACAAAATTTTGGCCATTTTATATGTATAATTGTTTTATTGATGGTATCGTAGATACAGTATAAAATTGTATTACAGCATGGTTGATAATTAAGAAAAATATCAGAATATCAAATGCACATCGCGTTCAATATTTACCAAGATGTGCAAGTAGCCTCGACAGTGGCTTTTGACAATGATATAGTCAAATAAATATAAATTTTCTGAATATGTGAATACATATATAAAATTCAAATCAGTCTGAGTGAAACTCTTCTCATATAAATATATTATATATATATATATA